CTCGCCAACTCCCGACGCAGCATCTGCGCGGTAGGGTAGTCGTCGGGCTGAAGCCTGTAGAAGTAGCCCCACAACGTGAGAGGGATCTCTGACTGCAAATTCAGCGCCACGAACTGCTCGACGTCCATGTTGTCCTCGTTGTACTGCTCCTCGTAGATCATGAAATCTGGGGTCATGCTCCTCCAGATGCTCGTGCGCCCAGCGCTGCTGGCACCGACAGGGCCCAGCAGCACCCGCTCGTGGAAGAGCAACCCCCCACGTCGGCGTAGCGCAGGCCAACCGACCTTCCAGGAACCAACTCAAGCGAAAACTCCTCGGCGGTGCATGGCGTCCCGTCGGGCCCCAGGAACCTCCCCACGGGGAGCCTCCGCGCGCGCCATCGCGCCTCCTGGCAGCAGCCGCCGCGGCCTGCCCGATGAGCGCCGACAGCAGGTGGCCGCCCACGACCCCGCCCCAGTCCAGGCCCTCGGCCTCCTCGGCTGGGCAGGGTGGGCACGCGCGCGCCTCCTCCGAGCACGCGGGCGGCTCTGCGCGTCCAAGGTCGGCGACGGCCCCCTCGAGGCGGCCGACCGCAGCGCCTAGCTCTGCGCGCTGAGACTCCTCGCGGGCCCGCTGATCCAGCTGCCCGAGCACCAGCAGCAGCGCCAGCACGGCGCGCATCGCCAACTCTGATGAAAGAAAAAAGCGAGGCTTGAACACAAGTGTGATGGACACGGAAAGGGGTTATCGGAATCTGGACCTCGACACCTCCAAAACTATGGCACGTCATTGCCGTGCTGCGCACACCCATGCTCCCAAGACGGCCCCAAGGCCACCACGATGACCGATTATTGCCTGAAGACAGCTGGGGATGGCCAGAGATGACCACGATAGCCTCAATATGATTCAAGGTGGCCCAAAAGGTCCCCAAGACGGCCCAAGACGGCTCCAAGAGGATCCCCAATGACTCCGAAAGCACCAGACTGCCGAAAAGCGCCCTAAGACGGCCCAAGGAGCCCTGAAGAGACCCCCACGACGCCCCAAGAGACGAGGATGGAAGACGAGAAAAGGACGAACACGACGACGAATACGGGGAGAGACACCCCGACACGACGCGGAAGAGCGTGACACATTCAAATTACATCTCCCCCAAACCACTGGACACGAGGTGTCCCACGTTAAGGCTTCTTGCGTGCTGCTGGAACAGTCGCCACCCAAAGTGCTGGGCTGGCACGGTGTGTCGGGCCCTTATGCTTACCCTGCCTTGCTTCTGGAGGAGCAAGACCCCGGCGAGGCATCGGCCTAACTGTTCTTCGCAAATTACATGCGATTCTCGCCGTCCACGGTAACAAGAAACACGATTTACATCCTTGCGGCAAACGGCCCTATACAATTTTACAACATGACATGATGGTGGGCCACGGTGGAGGGCGACCGATTCCGGGGACCACCGATGTCGGGGTCCCCGATGAGGGGCCACGATGTGGGCTAACAATATGGGGCCACGATGGAGGGCCAAGGATGAGGGCGCAAGATTGATGGCCACAGATTTCGCAGGCCCGAGCTATGGGGGGCAGGATGGGCCACCGGTTTCGGGGGTCTAGGCTCCCTCACTGGGCGTTCGAGTATGATCCTGATGCAGGACCCAGCCACGTGCAGTTGCGAGTACCGTCGTTATGAGTACCGCCTTTCGTGGAACTCCCTATGGGGCCACGAAGCGTGTGAGAGTTGTGCCAAAATGGGCGGGGGGGCTTCCTGTGAACACCGCCACAAGGGCCTCCGGTGGGGCTCCCATGGAGCCACGAAACGGGTAATGGGTATGCCGAAAGGGGTGGGACGGCCGTATGTTGACACCGCCTGTGGGACCTTAGGTGGAGCTCCCTCTGGGGCCACAAACGGAACGTGCGAGGGTTGCGCCGCACTGTGTGGGGCGGCAGCATGTGGACATGGCCCCACTGGGGCCTTCGGTAGAGCTCCTCATGGGGTCACGAAGCGTGTAAAGGGTGTGCCGGAATGGATTGGGCAACCGCGTGTGGACCCTACTTCTGGGGCCATCGGTGGAGCTCCCTATGGGGCCACGAAGCGTGTGAGCTGTGCGCCGAAATGGGTGGGGCGTCCGCATGTGGACATGGCCACTGGGGCCTTCGGTGGAGCTCCCTATGGGGCCACGAAGCGTGTGAGGGGTGTACCGAAATGGATTGGGCGGCCGCGTGTGGACACCGCTTCCGGGGCCTTCGGTCGAGCTCCTTCCGTGACCACGAACCGTGTGAGGGGTGTGCCGAAATGGGTGGGGGGGCGAACGTGGACACCGCCTCGGGCCCTTGGCCCCTCGGCCCTTCGGTGGAGCTCCCTGTGGGGCCACGAAGCGTGTGAGGGGTGTGCCGAACTGACTGGGGCGACCGCATGTGGACATGGCCCCTTGGGCCTTCGGTAGAGATCTTCATGGGGGAATGAAACGTGTGAGGGGTATGCAGAAGTGGGCATGCGGAGAACAGAGGCAGGCATGGGAGGAGATAGGAGGAAGGAGGAGAACAGGAGGAGGACGCGGGGCGCTGTCTCTTCACAATGAAGACCCAACGCCACAGGATGGTTGGGAAATACAATGCAACTCTGACAACAAACACTGTTAGGCTAAGCCAGGTCAAGGGTAACGACCGCTCCAGAATGTGCCAAACCCCCGTGGAGGTCCACGCGACCATCTCTCCTCGGTCCAAGGCCCCTTTAAACAAGCGGCGCCAGAGTCGCCAAGGGGCCTCAATCATTTACGAGACAACCCGCACGGGCACTTCGCAATTGACACTCACAACACAACGCTTCGAGGGGCTCCAGGAGGGCTTCGCGAAGGGCCCCCGAGACGCACGCATCGCAAACTTACATTTCACCAAGTGGGCTTTGCCCAACGGGGCGCGTACTATTTTTTCAATAACCAGTGGAGCCTGGGCTTGCGCTGGCCGGTATTGCCTGGGACTTGCAACGGCGCTCGTGGTGGGTGCGCGGCCTGCGCCAGCCGGAGATGCCCGGCGTTCCTTGGTCGTGGTGGCATTTCTTGGTCCTTGGCCTTGGCTCCTTATCTTGATTCCCTTTCTTCCTTACTGTGGCGTTCCTCGGGACTCCTTGATCTTGGTCCTTGGGTCCTTGAAGGTGTTCCTTGGTTCCATGGTCTTGCCAAGAAGTATGCCAAACAATCTGCCAAACAATGCCAAGCAATGCTTCCATGAAGTAGGCAATGTTTACCTAAGTGATGATTGTCGCTCGTTTGGTTTCACACACTCCAGAATTGGCGTCGCCAGCCTCAAAGATGGGCCTAAAAACACCCAACATACCCCCAGACGGCCCAAAGAAGGTCCCAACCTGGCCCCAGACGTCCCCAGCCTGCCTCCTAGAAGGAATCAAGACGGCTCGGGACAACCCAAAAACGCCCAAAGATGACCCCAGGACTCTCCTAAGCGGCCATCAGACAACCGAAGGAGGCCAAAATGGCAAAGACAAAACAAAAGTTTGGCCTCGAGGCCCAACCCCCGCGCGCCTGTTTCGTCCCGCCAGAAGCCCGCGCTGCGGGGGCGATGACACCCGCGCGCGTCGGCGTAGTCCGGGAAACTTGCGCGTTCGTTTCCCTCACGGGGGCCCGGCGTGACTCCCGCTCCGCAGCAGACTCGGTGGGCTCTCCCCCGCTCCCAGCTGCTTCCCTTCCCCGCAGCGCGGTGGCGGATATGCGCGGCAGCGCAGCTGTATCGAGGATGCAAGACGGTGGTGGGTGGCCGTGGCAAGTTTCTCGGGCTTGGACGCCGCCGTAAAGCGTCTGACGTAGCAAACGCAGCACATGAACAAGCAGCGGAGCACGTCGGTTACTTCATCAACGGGAGCTCATCTCACTGTCGTATGTGCTAATTGCTGCTGCTACTCGTCGTCGCCATCGTCGTCACTGAGCGGGCATCCCTGGCGCTGCGCTTGCAGTGAGCTTTACGCGATACTTTTCACTTGGGCGAACGCACCATTACACTATACCAGGGCGCGTCAAGGATATATTCACGGGGTTCTCAGCACAGGGCACTTTGGTCCCGTTTGCAATGGGAGAGGAGACCCTAATGCAAAGGGTTCTGTGGAAATGATACAGGAGCCTTTTCACGGAGGCATGTACGCAAGGAGAAGGGATGGAGAGATGTGGAGAAACGTGGAGGTGGGGAGAAACATAGGGAGGAGAGGAGAGTGAGGCGCAGCTGAGAATCACCCGAGTATCGATCCAGGACATGGGCTGGCAGAAAACCTTGCTGCTTGGCAGCACACGTGTAATGCGCGTAAGAAGCGACTCGCGCCTCGTTCAAAAAAACAAGAAGCACCTCTGTGAAAATCGAGCGCCCGAGACTGCGACCAGACGCGCGAAGAACAGGGCGCCCGAGCGCTGACGAAACCCATGCCCGAAGACCATACACACGCAGCAAAACCACCCCTGGGTGGCGATCCCGCGCCAAGCAGAAGCCAGGCGACCTCAGACCGACCGAAAACTCCCACCCAACTTGCTCGCCCCAGGGTCTCGACGTCGGCGGCGTTCGGCGAGGCGACCTCAAGGAGCACGCGGGCTTCTGGCACCCATGGGGCCCCGAATCTGGCCCAAACTGGTGCGTTTCCGCCAAGACGCCGGCAACAACTGTTGGTGGCGACGAAGAACAGCCGACACAGTCGCCAAGGACCCTGTACACTTACTTCCGATGCCTTGTTGTCGTTGGTGATGGTATATCGCAAGCCCTGGAGTTTTCGAATTCTGCGTGGGGGCAATGTTTTCAACTTGAATTTGTATGCGTCGGCTTTGGGGTTCGGAAAACAAAAGGCCTCCGGAGGCTGCGGGCCTGGGAAACGCCAGGATTGAAACAACCCACCTGAGGTCCCTGAAGTATTGCAAAGGTACAGCTGACGCGGCCATGTGTGACAAAGTTTGGCGCTGATGTTGTATCGACGCTCCATGGGCTTTGCTGCCAAAAAGGCATGGCGTTCAAAACGAAAAGAGATCATCTTGAAATGCCGCTCTACGCCGACTGGCGAATGGCCTCCCCTTGTGATCCCGGGGGGGGGGAAGGAAAAGGAGGAGGAGGAGGAGGAGGAGGAGAAGGAGGAGGAGGCGGAGGCGGGGGAGGGGGAGGAGGAGGAGGAGAGGAGCAGGAGCAGGAGGAGGAGGAGGAGGATGGGGAGGAGGAGGAGGAGGAAGAGGAGGAGGAAGAGGAGGAGGAGGAGGAAGAGCAGGAGGAGGAGGAGGAGGAAGAGGAGGAGGAGGAGGCGACGCTGCGAGGGAAACGTCGCGCCACACGCATAACGAACATCTGCGCGGAGACGGGCAAGCCCCACGGGGCCCACCTCCCACCTGAACCCAAAACCGCCCACAAACCCACCAGGAGGACCGCGGCTCGAGGCGGGGGCGGGAAGAGAAATGGCGGGGCGGCGGCGGCAATCCTGCAGGTTGAAACGAAATGCCGCGGGCGCGCGCGGGCGCTCGCCGCTCGCCGACGCTCAGGCTGACCACCGACCGCCCCACACATGGAACCGCACAACTAAAGTTACACCTCGTCCACCTGGAATCCTGGGATGAAAGTAAATGGAATTAAAGCAAGCGCCCCCCCCCACACCCCCCACACCCAATCAATCGCAGCCACGTGACATGCGGTCGGGAACGAGGATGGGGCGGGGGGCGGAACCAGGCGACTCCCAACCCTTTCCTCGTCAGCAAGGCAACCGCCTGCGAGGAGCAACTGGCGACTGCGAGCTGCCCTCCCGGAGAGGGTCAAGGGGGGCCCACAATCAAGAAGTGAGCGGCCAGCAACTTCTAAGCTGAAAGAAAGCGCGTCTCACGAAAAGGACGACTTGCCCCGATGGGGCCCAGCGTCGGTGGCCTCAGGTACAGGGGTGCCCAACAATGCCAAACGCGTCTCGGGGGCCACCCCGAGGCGACCCCACAGGGGGGCCAAGGTGAGAGAACCCAGCGCGCGACGCCCTGGCCGCGCCCCTAGAGGCGGCAGCGCGGCCGAAGCACGGCCCCAGCGAAAGGCGCTCTATCCGACGCTGGACCCTCGCGCCCCCGACGCAGAACAGCTGGCCGAGAACTTCGAGGAAAACGTCGGCTCGCAAACGGCGGGGGCGGCAACGGGCCCAGAGAACCTCCGCGCGTCATGAAACCATGCCGCCTGGGCCTGCCACCTCGAAAACTGGCAAACTATGTGAAAACAATTTGCGCGACAACGGAGGGCAGGGGCCGGGCGAAGGCCGCGCCCAGCAGTCGCTCCAACATAGACCCGCCAGTTTCCCCTCGCATTAGTGTCGTCGCCAGTCCGGCGCACTCGCGCGAGTTCAACCTGCGAGGCATCTCCAGACCATCCCAGGCCCGCAGGTCTGCCCAAAATTGACCCCCGCAGGTCAGCGGTGGGCCTTCGAGGGCGGCGGCGCACATTAGGGGCCCAACTAAGCCATCAAGGCCCTGGAAGCGCCCCGTGCGCCAACGCATCCATCCGTCAGCCCGCAAGCATAGCGAACCCAATCAAGCCCTGGCCGCCCCGGGCCAACGCCAGAAGCGCTCGCGGGCGCCGTCGGCGCGCGTGGCCCCAGCGAAGGAATCAGCCGAACCGTATCTCACCACCCATCTGCCTGAGTCGCCATTTTCCTGCAATGATGGAAAACCGCTCCTCAGCCGCAGCCCTCGACCCCAAGGCCGCAAGCCAACTTCTCGCGGCGGCAGCCCGAGATCGCTCGATGGGGCCAAGCGCCATCAAGCGAGCTTCGTCGCTGCCAGGTCAAGTCCGAGCAACTGATGCGAGCTGCAATCTGCCGACGGACAATCAAAGCTTCGCGCTCGTCGTGGGCTTGTAAAACTTCAGGCGAGCGGGGGGCACTGGGCCATCTTCGACGATGGCGCGGAGCATGGTCACCTCACTGACCGAGCGGCGCCCGCATCGCACCTCGTTGAGGCTCTTTCCCATCCGCGCCCCGTTCACCCGCGTCGCCCACCTCGTCATGTCTCCCTATGCTGATATCGCCCAAGGAAATCGATGATGGGCCCGATCCAACACCCCAGGGGCTCAACGAAGACATCGGCAGGGTTCGGCCAGGCAGCCCACCCACCCACCCCCCTGGCCCTCGAGGGCTTCCAAGGAGAACTACATGGCCTCGACGGCTTCAAGAAGAACGACGTGGCCCCGATAGCTAGAACTCCACGCACGTTACGAAACAAACGCGTTGTTTCCCTGCGCCTGTCAAGCGCGCCGAAGAACCGCGAGGATCTCAAGAGGGGCGGGAGGCAGAACTAATCTCGGTAATCACCTGGGGCGGTGCTCCGTGCGCCCCAAATCCGCAGCCCATGGCTGGCGGTAAAGCCTGTCTCGCAAACTTGCGGGCCCGTGGACCAACGCGTCGCGCCTGTCTCAGACGGATGGGGATCGCTTGGAGGCGACCGACGCTCGCCCCCGAAGCCAGCTGCGCCTCCCCGGCCTTCCAAGAGCGACTTCCACCCCCAGAACCTCCAAGGCGCCGCGAGAAAGGCTGCCCCAACTTGCCGCATACGCAACGGGTCGCACTTGGAACAGCACGCGCGGCGGTCAGCGCGCGCTCGGAATGAGGAAGGTCGATGCCATGGAGCATGGAGCACTCGTGTCAAAACTGCAGAGCCTTGCGCGATAGCGACAGCAAGGTGCGAAGCGTTCTGGCGACAGCAACAACAAATCGCAGGAGTAAATAGCGAGCGAACGATCAACGCGCGCAGCGCGCTTGCATCGCGACCCACACGGCGATGACGTAGCGCGCTGCAGGAGTACCATGCAAACGCGAATCTCAACATCCCCCCCCCCCCCCCCCCCCCGAGAAGCGAACGCTTCTCCCGTGGAAGCCCCCCCCCCGAGAGGGCACCCCGCATGCCGCGTGCACGCGGGCCGCTGCGCGCGCGGGCTGAGACGGGGCGCCGCGACCCCCCGCAGCGCAGAATGACACGCGGGTCTGGGCTGAGTTGGCGACCGGTTGCAGCCTCAGCCCACGCGCAGACCTGGGCGAATACATCTGCCGTCTATTTCTGCGCGCCCCAAGCAATGCAAGGTGCGCTGAGCCGATCGGCCCGCCCCCGAACTCGATCGAGACGAGCCTCGGCCCGAAGCCGCCATGCCGGGGCGCGGGGCGGGCGGCGGGCAGAGGGGCGCAGGGAGGGGCAGCGGGGCGATGCCCGCCAGACTGTCTTCTCAACGAGATCACGCGGGCTCAAGGCCGCGTGCCCCGTCTGCCCCAGCGGCCGCGCGCCTCGGAGACCGCGCGACCACGGATCGAATCGCGAGCAGCGGGGGGCGGCAGTCGCGGCCCGGGTCGGATGCAAGGAAATGATCGAAGCGAGTCGGGCCGCCCGCCTCGGGGCGTTGGCCCCCTCAGTTGTGGTTCCCATCTCCGGTCAGTGACGCTCGTGAAGCCTGCTGTCGGCAAATCTGTCAGATGGCAAACTCCAGTCAGCGCCGGCGATGCAGGGGGCGCGGTGAAGCGACGTGCGTTGGCCCATCAATTCGATCATCGGCGGGGCAGCCTTCTCCCAGCTTCTGGCCCCGCTCTAAGTAGAGCGGGGCCGCGACGCAAACGCGGCAACGACCCGCGAGAACATGCGCGGCACATCCACGCCCAGGGATCGAGGCGTGATATCCGCAAGCCCCATTCAGATACGCAGCGCCGACGTCGAGCATGACAAGAAGGCCATGCCCGGGGCCGCGCACCCATAAAATATGGTCGCCGCCCTCGCTTGGCACTCCACTCTTCGGCAGAGAGATGGGCGCGACCTGCTGGGCGATGCCCTGCACGCACGCGACCGAGAGGCGCCTGCACTTTTCCAAGAGTCCTGCCTCTGCGGCCAACCACTGCCACTTTACGGAACCATTTGGACAAGGTCTCATCTTGCCGCGCGGGCCAGAACGACGCCATGGGGGATGTCGTCGAGGTCGAACACCCTGCGACGGCGTCTCAACACACAGTGACATGCTGATCTGGGTAGTGCCACCTGCCTGGCCGAACCCCACAGTTGGCTTCAATTCTGGCAGACAGCGTTGTCGAAGAGAGCTAGCAAGGAGGTCAGCGAAGGGCATGTCGTCGAAGGACTGCACTTCTCCTTGAACCAGCCGGGGCGTAGGATCAACTCACGACCAATCTTCGGTTTATCCTGGGGGGCCTGCAACCGCTGTTCCTGCCAGCGCACTCCCACTGTTTACAATGGTGTGGGCAATCAGCGCCTCCAGCAGCATAAGCAGGTGCTTGACCTTGGCCATGAGGAAACTGTGCCCGACGATGCCCCTCGAAGGCCGTCTGGAGCTCGGCGAAGTGGTCGGCAATCGCAGCCAGAGCCGTAGGTGCATTGCCGGCAGGCGCAGCTGAACCACAACTACACCCTCTGGGCCAACAGCCTGGCACTGACTGCCCGTGACCTCGGCTCTGACCGTGAGCGCCTCGAGCTGCATGGCCTGGAAATCTGCTCTTGCCGCAGTGAAATCGGCGCCCTTGGAATCGTACTGGACGTTGAGGGTGGCCACCGCCACAGTAAGTGTCTCAACTTCTCGGGCCTTGGAACTCGATTAATCCAGAACGGTGCGATGCATTACATCTAGACTTCATCGAGTTTTTTTGTTTCTACATCTTCTGCAACCGAAAGAGTGTGTCGAGCATGGACCCCCAGCTCACGTGTGCCACCGAAGCCACACCGAGGCAAGACTGTCAAAACCTTGCACGCCTGATTTGCCTCATCACCATCGTTCTTCGAAGCCCCGAGTTTCTTATTGCCCGAGGTGTGGATGGGAGCCCGCCCGTTGAAGTCGGGCTGTCTTTTCTGTTCTCGGCCGCACATGCAGCACCTGCTGCTGCAATGAAAAGTTGCGAGTGAAACCGCAATGACGAGTCACCAAGCACACCCACCGTGGTTCGTGGACGCGTTCCCATGTCCTGACGTACATCACCTTGTCCACAAGATTAGACACGTGGTGTAATGATAGGAGCCGTCGCGCTGTGTCCAATCGAATCCCATTTTTGGCTGAACTGTCTTCCAGTCGAAGCCACCGGTGCTAAGCATGGGATGGATGTCGGGAGCGAGGCGTCGTTCCAAACTAATTCAGGTCGGTTATCTCTCCCGCGGAATGTGGGACAACGGCCCAAGCTTTGGAAATAGTGGCCGTCCATTGGCACGCGGCCTGCACAGGGCCGCGGCAGCTCAGACAATCCACTCCAACCTATCGCGATGCGGCGCGAGCTGGCAGCTAGAGGTACAGTATCGGGAAACTGCCTGGTTCAGGCTGCACGGGCGGGACCCCAGCGCCTGCTCGCAGGAGCTCGGCCCCTAGGAGGAGGGGAGGAGGAGGAGGAGGAGCAACAAGAGGAGGAGGAGGAGGAGGAGAAAGTGGAGGAGTAGCATTTGGATGAGGGGGAGGAGGGCGCACACACACACACAACATGCACCAACGACGTTGCAACTCGCCTTCCGTGCCAATCCCCTTCCAAGAAAACCCTGCAACCCATTCTCTCCACTAGACTTCGGGCAACGTCTCCTTGGACGACGAGCGCGCCATTGGCCAGCCATTGAACGTGAGCTCCGCATCCAAAAAGAGCCGCCACAGCTACGAGGAATGTCAAAAAGCATGACAGCCCATGTCAGAGGAATGCCCAACGAAACCCCCGCTTGGAAAAGTAACAGCACTCCATTCGTATCTGCTCCATGTGCTTAACCTTCTGGCCAAGCGTGTAGGTCAAACTTGAAACGAGAACTCCGTTTGGAGCGGGAAGCGCCCTCCATCCGTGTAGATGCTCAGAACCTAACACGAGTGTAAGCGGTGGTGAGGCAAGATTCACTACTTGAAAGCAAAGCATACTACATCCTTTCCGCGATGGGGCACCACTTTAAAAACACACGCGCGCGGTACTGAGGCGAGACACGCATGTTGAAACCGAGACGCCTTCAACCCGTGGAGCAGTTGGGCAATTTCAGTTCCAATGCCATGATTGGCGCGGGGATGTCATGCGACATGCAAGGCTCGCCCAACTGGCACGCCAGGTGGTGCGGCGAGAAGAGGAGTTACTTACCAGGAATGGGGGTGCGAGAAGGCGACGGGAAGGAACGGCATGGAATGGAAACAGGGCGTGGGTGGATGGGGCAGGGGGTATTATCAGCCAGGGAGGGAGGAGCTGAAGAGGGAGCGCAAGGGAGATACAGGATGCGCAGCAGAAAGAAGATACCTTGGCCTCTTGCAGCCCCGTGGTTCTGCTGATCTGCCGTAGCCGTGCTCACTGGAAAGGAGACCCAACCCCTGACCGAGCGGGCCCTACGCTCCCAAATTTGTTCCCAGTGGGCCCCAACTGTGTCGATCTCTTCCCAGAAGGCGACCCTCTGTCCTGGATCATCTTCTGATGGCCCCGAGGCCCAAAACGGGCCTCTGGCGCCCAGATGCAAAGAAAACGCTGGAATCAAAAGCGTCACGATGCCGGAAATTTGGGGACACGACCTTTGACCGACTGGAACCCTCTCCTTGCACGTCTTTAAACGGCTCGCAGGATATGGCAGAATTGCCTGACAGTGCTCCGAACTGGTGATTCGGAAGTGGCACGACTGAGGGTTCGCCCGCCTGGACCTCATGAAATGGAACTCGCCCTGTCCGCACCAAAGAAGGGCCCACCTTGGTAAAGCCACGGTGGTGCGGACCCCGATGCCGCTGGAAAGGAATCCGAAATGGGGGAACAAGCAGAGCATTCAGATTTGAAAAACAAATAGCAAGATCAGGAGGCAGGAGAAAAGAGGGCAGTGCCCAATCCCATGTCTCATGTGTATCTTCTTCGCCAAGCAACCAAGCAATTCTTCCACCCATCCGCCAGACATCGGCCCCTGTCTCGCTTCAGCATCTGAGTGCTCCCTCCCTGCCCTGGGCTGGTCGAAGGCGTTGAAGGCTGAGAAGGGGTCGAGTGCCCCGAAGCAATCGAGCTTGGACGTCGCTGGCTGGTAGGCCTGCTCGGTGCCGGGAGCTAGAATCCTATGCTCGTGGAGTTGCGATCCCTGCTGTCCCCCTCTCCCGCCTGACGGCAACAGCTGGCCGCGAAGCGGTAGTGGCCTCCTCCTGCTCCTCCTCCTCCTTCTCCAACTCCTCCTCCTCCTTCTCCATCCATTTTTCCTGAAAGAACTAACTCGTCCCTGTCGCACCCCCAGACGTGTCGGTAGGGCGGGCTGGGCGTTTCGACTGATACCTCACCCTTTTGAATCATCATGAGACTGGGAACTTGAAAGAATCATTCACGTGACGAAGACGGCTCGTTTTCAATGTGGCGCACGCCTCCGCGCAGCGCATATTCGTCTTAACTGCTTGCAACAGACTCAAGGAGACCAACTCCGACAACAACGACAAGCAGGTGCTCGCGCTGGGCTTCAAGAACCATATGGAGCCGGACCTCGTTATCGCCAAGATCGAGGTGATACTCACCGAAGTATTGGGCGACAACCACACCGCCAAGGTGGAAGCTGGCGGAAACCCTGCGAAGATGGGGATCATCAAATTGAGGACGCATCTCATAAAATCGCCTTCTACAAGAAGGCAGACCAAATCAAGGTGAAAGAACACGTAAAAACCATATCTTTCGATACAACGTCACAATGGAAGAACGGGTTACTGACAAAATGCTTGGCTACAAAAACTTCCACCTGACCCGCAACGACCACGTCAAGGATGAAGACATCAAGATCGTCTGGCGGAAGAGCCTGGTGGAGGTTGAAGGCCGGAAGGTGGCATGGATCGACGAGGCCGAGGCCTAGCACACTACGGGAACAGCCAACAAGGTTGAGCAAGACGTGAAAGCATCCATGGACGCATGGAAGAAAAAGGTAGACCCGGACCCGGCGACCGAATCTGAATGAAGGGATGCCCCTCCCTCCCGAGAACATGGGGCTAATAACTATGACCCGCAGTTTTGGGTTTCACCCATCATCCAGAATTCATGTGCATAGGCATTCGATATATCCATTCCTTGTCCCCCTCTCTCCAAATGGAGTCCAGACGAATCTTCCCAGGAACGCTGAGACTTTTCAGAGTGCCCTGCGGGACGAATTCGATACTTTATTTTTTAACACCCCTTCGCAATCAAGGAAGTCCGCTCTCAGGACCTACATCGTCAAGACCAGCATCGCGACCACCTTCGACGACAACGCCGGCATGCAGCACAGGCGGTGGCAGAAAGGGCTTTGCACATGCAGACGGCGACGTGCCACTGAGCATTTTCACAGCACAGCGCACTCCACTGCCGAATAGCACCGACCACCGCAACCAGCAGCAACACCACCAACCAGCAGCGACAGACTACCACGAGCAGCCAGAACCAGAAAACCTCGACCGCAACCAACCAACATAACCAACAGCACTGACCACCGACCAACAAGACCAGCAACACTTAACCAAACCACCACCACCGACCAGCACCGACCACCGGCGCCAGCAGTGGCACCGACTGACACCAGCAAGTTCACACCACCCAGCAATGACCAACCACGACGAGCAAACAACGACACAAGCGACTCCTGACCAATATCACCAACAACATACAAACAATCAACCGCAGACCCCACTCACCGAACAACAAGGCAGCCGACTAGCAGCGACAAGCCAACACCAACCAATCCAAACCAGCGCCGACCACGACCAACCACGAGCACCAACGCGGACGACACCGAACACTGACGAGAACCAACATCACATACGCATAACGGTCATTCACAAAAATGCCCGGGCACTTACAACAGACAACCGGGTCAACGAACTCATCGCAGAGCTCGACAATGGCCATTGGGACTTTGTGCTTATCATTGAGATCTGGAGGACTACTACAACAGAACTATGGACAACCATGGGAGGGCAGACGTTTGCTGGATCTGGCAATGACCAGGCGTACCACGGAGTTGTTATTCCTATATACGAACATTGAGGAAAGAACATACAGATACTCGGAACCCACTCGCCAAGACTCGCAACAGTGTTGTTGAAAAGAGGGCGGTTGAAATTGCAACTGGTTGCCGCGTATTTTCCGCACTCTGGGCGCAGCGACCCGCACATTCAGCACATGTACGACGCGATCCACGAGATTCACATATATATATATATATATATAGAGAGAGAGAGAGAGAGAGAGAGAGAGAGAGACAAAAAAGAGAGAGAGAGAGAGAGAGAATGAGAGAGACTGAAAGAGAGAGAGAGAGAGAGAGAGAGAGAGAGACAGAGAGAGAGAGAGAGAGAAACAAAAAACGGCAGCACCAAAGCACGACGTCATGTTATACTCTCTGGCGACTTCAACGCGCAGGATGGGGCATCCCGTATATCAATAGACGGCGACGATGGCGACGACCTCATCACTTCCAGGTTCGTCGGCAGCCACGGAAATGGGATCGAAAACTCGAGGGGTACATGGTTGCGCCACTGTGCTGCCCAAATAGGGCTTGCACTTGCAAGCGCGTGTTTCCAAAAACCTGTGCGTAAACAGATCGCATACATCAGAAATGGCAAGCAGACACAGTTAGACAACTTCAAGTTTTTCACGACTGCCTAGGCAAACGACGGGACCGACCTGAAATCCGACCACAAGGCTGTCATCGCTGAGTTGAAGATCCCAGAAGCAATGGTAACTAGACGACCGCGACGCGGCGATGACTAATGGCAACGCGAACATGCACCACCCAACGCCTCCACCAGTAAAATTATGAATGTGAACGTCTAGCACGACCACCAAAGACGACGACTGAAACCAGACAAACTACCCACCGACCCGCAATTCCTGGACGAGCACATCCAGAAAATGCCCATCGACGCCGCCGCCGCTAGCAGCACTGCAGCACCACGGGCAGACCGACATTGTCGGTCTGCCCGTGGTCTGGTTGAACCAGACAGAGGAGCAGAACTACGCCTTCTCATCTCACAGCGACACCAGACCCCAAACAGCGACCGCCGCACCCGCAAACAACTGAGCGAATTCATACAGCAGGAGATCCGCGCGCAGAAGCGGCGGACATAGAAAGCGTGCTCGAACAGTTCAGAGACCTCAGAAGTATCCCGCGCATCAAGACACGCAGCAAGCGGACTCCCATTACACGCATGACTTGAGCAGCGATAATTACAATAATTCGTCAATTCGGAGAACGACAATTCGGAAAAAAAATCGAAACGAGAAAACAAAACAAAACAACAAAAACAACAATACTTAACAATACTAAAAAACAATAATTAACCAGGGAAACTTCACACATTACGACAATTTAGCAATAATCCCAACGCATACGTTTCACGTGCCATCTTTGGGGCGCCCTGGGGCCCTCTTGAGGCCCACTCGGAGCCTCGTGGGGCCCTCCTGGAGCCTCTTGGGCTTGAAGTCCCGCTGGGGATCCTCTTGGAATATGGGGCCCCTCTCGGAGCCTCTCTTGCGGCTGCACTGCATGCAGCATGCAGCATGCATGCTGCTGATGCTGCTACGCTCCCGTGATCAAGGCAGCTCGCCTAGGCATCTTCCCTGGGTCTGACGGTGAGCCCGAGGCTCTGGCCGAAGGCCTTGGATCTTGGATATGCGCGGCCAACGTGTCAATTCCGTGAAATCTGGCCCCGATTGGGGTGCCCGGTGAAAGGGGACAGCGGACGCCGACTATCATGACCCTTCAGGGGGATGAAGAAGATGAATATAATGACAAAGGAGGCTGGAGGGGCGAGGACGAGCAGCGGGAGGAAGGAGGTCCACGACGAGGACGAAGACGAGAAACAAGATGAGAAGGGCAGCCAGAAGATGAGAAGGTAGAAGGTAAGAAGATAAGAGGCGGGCCAGTCACCGTCGTCTTCGTGGTCCGCCTCCTAATCCTCCTCCTCGTCTCCTCCTCCTCCTCTTCCCCTCTCCCTCCTCGTCCTCCTCCCCCCCCTCCTGGTCGTCGTCGCCCTCCTCTTCCTCCTCCTCTACTTCCTCTGCAACGATGAGGGGCGAGGGCGAGGCGCTCTTCCACTCGTTCAACGACGTACAATCTGAAGTCAGATTGATTGCGTGCGGCACCCCCCGCCACCCCATGCGCGGCCCCCCCGCAGCTCGCGTGCCCGCGCGAGCACCTGACCGCGCGGCGCGAGGAGCCAACGCGCCGATGCCGCCACCCCCCACTGCGGCCCTGGACCTGAATGGGCACCCCAAGGCCACTCGAATTCTGAAGTGGGACCAGGGCGGCCACGACGGGACCCGCGGCCCTCTGACGGCCTCGGGGAATGCTCGGAATGCGATGCGGAGTCCTAAAGGGTCTCTGGGAGCAGCGTCAACGGAATCTGAGCGGCAGGCGGGCGGCGGGCGCGTCGCTGGCCATCGCCGTCCTCGCGCAAGGCGAGCAAGGGCGCCTCGAAGGCCTCCGGGACGACGCGGCCCGAGGTCTTGAGGTCCGCGCGGGCCTTGTCCACTTCGGCCTTGCGGAACGCACGGTCCTTCAGGCTGGGCAGCTCCTCGCAAATTACATGCAGCATGAACGTGCAAACCGCGAGCTCGTTGCTGCTCTCAGCGATCTCCGTCCAGGCGGAGAAGACCTCGTCCCCGACGAGGTGAGGCATGCCGCTCATGTTGACCGCCCCAGGCGGAGTGGCCCCAGAACCCCCCCCCCCTGGGGGGGCGAGGAGGATGACGGAGAAACGCTGAAGACGAGGAGAGGCAGCAGGAGGAGGGAGGTCCGCGACGAGGACGACGAGAGCATCGAGCTGACGAGGGCAGCCAGAGAAGGAGGAGGAGGAAATGATCAGGAGGACCAGTCGTCGTGGCCCCCATCCTCATGTCCTCCCCCTCATCCTTCCCCTGCTCCTCCTCCTCATCCTCATCCTCCTCCTCCTCCTCCTCCCCCTCCTCGCCCCCCCCCTCCTCCTCCTCCTCCTCCTCGTCCTCCTTCCCCTCCTCCCCTCCGCCTCCTTCTCCTCTTCCCCCCCCTCCTCGCCCTCGCCCATCTGCTGCCCCCTCGACCCTGCC